AGCTGCTGTGGTAGTGTTTCCTCGCTGGCAGTAAGACAGAGTGAAGGAACAGGGTATATGAAAGGGTTTCCGTGAGATGAAGAGGAAAGTTCTGCACTATTTTCCTTTAGTTTAATCTCTGCCACCTGCCATGAGGCTCTCGTATCTTTGAGCCTGAGAAGGCCCCATTTTGTTCAGTTGAGTTTAATCGCAGCATTTAAATGTGTGTAAAAAAACAACAACAAAACCCCATCTGCATGAAACCAAATTTGATATTCTCTCCCTCTCTTAATGTGATCCCATGAATTTCTTGCATTGTTGTGTCCCATGTACTAAGGGTCCCACGCAGAGAGCAAACAATAAAGCAGTGAGAAGACAGATGCTCTGCTAATGGGAAACCAAGGAGAAGAGAGTTGTGAGGGATTACAGGCAGCCTGGGGTAGGAATACATTATTAGCATAGCACCCAATTCAGAAATTAGTTTTCAGAATTAAATGCCTGAAGCATTTTGGCAAAAACTCCTGATCATCCTTCTCAAAAGCCCTTAAAGCATAAAAGAGTAGGAATCTCAAGTCTAGGCTGAGCGATAGCATTTGGTGACTTTGCAGTGCTGTTACAGTGAATGGTAGCTTTTATGGCTTCATACCATTACCAGGGCAGCAACTGCCACACCTACTGAAATGTAACCCACTCGATCTGCTCACACAAACCTTTAGCAGGTTTTGAACATCCTCATCAAAGAAGAAAATGGGCCTGAATGAGATTCCAGGGTCTGTTTCCAGGAGGAGGGTTTTGTTCTGTTGAGTGCGTAACAGCAGGGAAGTGCATCAGCCTCTCCTTGGGCACGGTTAGGCATGCGAAGGAGAAGCAGCGACATGTCTTTTCAAAGATCTGACATTGCCTAAGGTAGAAATTTTGGGTCCTGAAGCCTTTTTCAGGCATGCTATTTTCTGAATGTTTTTGCTTTTGATAATCATGATGAGAACGTCAAACTTTGAAAGCCTGAGTAGACAACCAAGATTAGTTTACAGGACTGAGGGCAGACAGGAGAAATTGTTTCTCATAGTACTTGGTGGGATTATCCTCCATGCATAATTGTTCATTATATGCTCAAAATTCATTGTTAATTTCTTTGGATATATTGCACATTAGACAGAGAGTTATAAACCACAAGATTATCACAGGAGGACACTAACAGGGCTAAATATTCAGGACAGAAGGGGACTTGTTTTCCTCTTACATTGAAACAAAGCCTCTTAGACAGGATCATTAGAGATTTTTTTGCCCGTTTGATAATCAAAAGTATAGTGGACAGCAAATAAAAGAAAAGTTTAGCCAGCCAAGTTTTCTACTTTATTTTTACTCTTCTATTCTAACATAATTAACATACTTCTCAAGATCTATTTAGTTTCCCAGAGTCTCATTTTATGTAAGTATCATTGGGGAGCTTGATTACAAAGTCTTGATTCATGCTCATAAAGTGAGATTTTATTATCCTGCAAGAGAAGTCAAGGACAAGGTAAATACGGGAGAAAACAGTTGGGGCCAAACTGAAAAATCAGGAAACATACCAGCTCTTCAACATGCACTTGTTTTCTTTGCATCCTGGTAACTAGAATCTTATGTCTAAGTCACAGGAGTAAGAGTAAAGGGCAACATTTAATTTTTGGCTTTGAATTTCAGAGCTTTTCTTTTTATAACAGCTTCTTTCAGTGTTTTATATATGCTTTTAATGAGCATCTATAATGAGTATTTGGGAAAGTTCAGAATTATGCTTCTTATTTGTCCTGGATACAGACTGTCTGTAGATTTCTGAACTTTTCTGTCTAGTTCAAGATTGGTCCATATTTACATCATCTTACTGGTCTGCCAACAAAATTTTCTTCTTTAAAAAACAAAACAAAACAAAAAACCTGGCACATACAAAACCCTTCTAGAGTAAGGCTAGAATCGAGCCCAGTACTGCTTACATCCCAAATGAACTTGTATGTATAAATTACCATGTGTATAGGAAGCAGAGCTGCGATTTTGCTTCTTCACTGGGGTCTTGCCTATCAGCCTCTCTATTACTTCAGTGTTTCACCTCAATCTGTTTTTCACGTCTCCAGACTGTGGGGGAGGGCTGGTGTGCACAAAAGCGCTTTCCCCCCCCCCCAGCTATGTCAGTAATAAAAGAGGTTACAAGTCTGTAGAGCATAATCTCCTCTTCTCTTGCAGTTACCTAGTTCACAAGCTCTGGGGGACTAGTGCAGCTTCCACCCAGCCACGCTGGGAACCCACCATCAGGGAGTCTCTTGGGTGTGCTGGGAGATAATGAAGAGGCTATTCTGCCTTGTCTGCAGTCTGGAGCAAGTCACAACTTCTCTCTCATTGCACACATAAGATTTGTGAAGGTTAATAATAATCAAGTGCTTCAAAGACAGATGTTGCCAATTTTAATTAGTATTTTAAGACTTTGTAAGCTCTGCTTCAAAAACTGAAAACTTAGCACAACAGCCCTGTTTGAATTCTCCAAGTTAAGAACAAACACTGCAAAGTAGAAGTTGACAGGTGAGCTACAAAAACGAAGAGAAAATCATTTGTTGTTACCTTTGACCAGCAGTATCCACAGTACTAGCATCATGTAGGAAATGGTGCTGCTGGGATCCGAGACCGTCACTCTTTTCCGGTCCAAACAGATTTAAAGCACAAGCAAGAGCTGAATCCAAAACCCTGATCTCGCTGAATCAGGTCTCCAGTTTGTCTGGGATCGATACTGTGATCGGAAAAGAGAAGAGCATAGTGGCAAAGGACAGTGTCCATGGAGCATTTTATCACTGCTATTAAGACTTACTGCCATGTTGCAAAGCCCTCTTAATTGGGTAATCGAGTTCTGGATGTGTTTGACAAGTCACAATTCTCTGTTAAAAACAAATCATGGTTTTAATTTAATAGGGTTAGTCATATAAAGAGTGATTTTGTGTCAGCAAAAACCTTTCTTTCTGACAAACAGTGTAATTTACTACAAACTAGTTGGCAATAAATGACATAATCTGACTACTATGCCATTCTGTTCCTGGGGAATAATGTTCCCTCTTAATCAATAGCTGGGTAAATGCTCCTTTGCATGCCTTATCAAATGACAGCCAGATGGTACTAGTAAATTCATTCCAGCAGGATTTTAGAATTAGCTGGGTTTGTACCATTGTTAATCCTCTGCTGTCTGCACCATTAGGACCTACCCACCTGTTTCCAGTAACCCACAAGTTCACAACCTTAGGAAATAGTCCAGCCAGATGGTTACTCGGATACAGCGCAGCTAAGAAGCATCCCAAGCAGTGAGGCCTTTTTTCTGCATTAGTAAGGAGAAGAAAAAAGAAAAAAAAAAAAAGGCATCTTGCAGAAATAGCCAGCTAGGACTGCCCATCTCTGTATTTGTTCCTTGACACCCTGGTCTCTGTTGATGAAGTTTCACAGTTTCTTAAGACTGCATGAGCTGTGTTCCTTAGCACATAGTAAATTTGGAGCTGTGACAGCTGCCATACCATCATGTACTGACTTTATGGGCCCATCCAAGTGTCTGCAAGACCTTCTCCTTCGTAATCACTTTGTTGCATAGCAACAATAATTTTGTCTCCAGCTTATTGATCTGAAATAACATGTAATCCCCTCACACCAACAATAAGGAAAACATATGGCAGCACTAGGCTGGGAAACACTGGCTTTTGAATTGAGGGGACAGTTAATCCCCACTAAATCAAGGCGGGGAATGGAGCAAGCTGTAAGCTCTGTTGGGCTGAGGCTCTGAGGATGCATTACAAGCTTGAGCCAATTAACCTGTGCTCTGGGAGAAGAGTCCAGTTTACACTCATCCTCCATATTCCCTGTCTTTTATCTTGTGCAACTAAAGTACGTTTCAGGTGAGCTTTGCCACAACCGTTAATTGCTGAAATAAGCATCGCTGTGCAATACCACGCAAATAACTGGGCACCCCATCTTTCTGCCAGGAAA